GACTTGGTCATCATTGCACTTGGGGGAGCATCAATCTTAAGGGTACAATATGAGACAAATTTTGAGTTTTTTTTTTTTTTTTTTTTAAGGATGTCCGGGCCAAAACCCGACTAATCCCCGGCAAATTTGGAGATGAAACATGGCCCCACTTAAATGTCGCCAACACTTCCCTCCCAGGGCTCGAACTCGGGTTCATGACTATGCCATGTCCAAGCCTTTACCACTAGGCTGGAAGGTCTTTGACAATTTTGAGCTACTTGAGATCAATAATCAGTCAACATTCGACTTGACATATTAACGAGTCGAGTCAAGTTAGAATTTAAACTACTCATAAATTTTTAATCGAGTTAAAGTATGGGAAATGACTATTAAGTCCGAGTCAAGTATATTGATACTTAAACTCACTTGCATCATTTACACCCTATGTAGGATTAATTATAATCATATGTTTTGCACTTTATGAAGAAATTTTCATGCAAGTTACATTTGAAATTTTACAAATTTAACCGTGAAAACATTGATTAATTATAACTATGTATATTAAATTATATATCAAGTCAAATATTGAATTTTTTGTATGAAAAGATTCAATATATATATATATATATATATAGAGAGAGAGAGAGAGAGAGAGAGAGATTGTTTCAAATACAACCTAATAAATTGAAATATTTATAGAAATGATGATAATTTATTTATTATGATTTAAATATTTATGAAAGATAAATAAAGTTTATTAATTATGATCAATATTTTATATTAGAAAACAATCAAAACTTTCATGAAATTACATATTCATCAAATTAAATAGACGGTTGAGATTGAGTTGTATTGGTTATAAAAATGTAAAGGGTTGTTGTTGGTCCCGTAAGGGTTGTTGTTGGTCCCGTAAGGGTCTACAAGAAGAGAAACAATTTGTAGAAGAAAGGGGATGAATACAAACACAGTATTTTCAAATTTAAAATATATATTGATAGAGAAGATCAATACAGATTTTACAAGATTGTTTGCGGAAAGATAAGGTAATAAAAACCTATCTAAACAATCTTTGGTTACACACAAAGCTTTAGCAATTACAAGAAAAGAAGTTGCTAAAAGAAAGATCATTTACTTAAGCTAGAAGATGCTTGAAGTAAGAATAAGGTTAGAGAGAGATGTGCGCTATCTGCATGGAGAAGAAACAATTCTGTTTATACCCAGTGCATTAAATGTCCATTTAATACAATATGGTAGGTTTAGAGTGCGTGTCAAACCTTAAGAGGAAGGTTTGTTCTTTGCTACAGTAAATAGTACAAAAACACTATTTCTGAGCAGACATCCTTACCTAAAGTTGGTGAACAAAGAGTCGACTAATCGACTCCGTACCGTACTAACGTTTGTAAGGGTATGGGTTTTGTCCTTTGTGTGCATAAGGACAAGACAACAACAATCGTGCTAAACAAGCTTCTTTTGATCGCTGAATGCTAGAATGACTTGAAGGTCTCATCATCATTCGTTGAAGCTTAAGCAGTCTTCACACATATGTAGACATGTTTGTAATCACTGAATACCGCTTCAGATCACGTACTCGCTGGTCTCTAATCTCCAGTTTCAGTCTTCGACGTTTGCTGAAGGTTCTTTGGTGTGAGTGTTGTCTTCTTGAAGTATTGCTGTCTCTGATAGATTTACAATGCAAGTTCTTCAGCGATCACTGAACATACTCAGTGAAGATCGCTGGAACTGAAAATACAGAAACACAAATACACTGTGAAAGAGAAAAGGGATTATCATCAAATCACTGAGAGAGGTGATCAACAATCTCCCCCTATTTGAAGATTGTAATCTGCTCCAGAATCTTGAAGATTGTAAGGAGTAAAGAAAAGAATGCATCAAATCATGAGTGAAATAAAAAAATTAATTTACATGAAACAGGTTTCATGAAGGTGAAATTGGTTCATGGCGTAATTGAACAACGAGTGGTGAACTGCTTTCATGGTGAAACTCGTTTCAGTGATGGTGTAAGTGATCCATTCAGTAGATGAAATGAAAAATGAAACGGGTGCATAATGTAGGCGGTTCGTCATGAAATAATTGCAAGATGGAAAATAAATTAGTTTCATTAATAATAATAAATGTTAACGTACAAATAATAAATTACTTTACAAAAAATAGATTAGTTTCATTAATAATATGATATACATGATATGGTTTCCTTGAATAAATGAATATTTGGTTTTACCCTTTTGCCCTTATCGGTATTATAAAATGTATTTTTAATTTTTAATTTCCTTAAATAACCTTGATTAATCTTAACCATTGATCAAGAAAATGGATGAGTGAGATTGGTTTACACGGTTTACACAAATGGAGACGATTTTTATTTGTTCGCTCCTATATATATATATAGGAGCGATCAAATAAAAACCACCTCATTTGTACAAACCGTACAAACCACTCTCATACGTCGATTTCATTGTTTAATCTTATGAAATTTTTTCATGAAATTGTTTAATCTTGTGAAATTGTTTCATATAATACTTTTTTTGATGAATTTGTTTCATATATGGTTATGAAATTGTTTCATATAATATTTGATGAAATTTTAATGAAACTGTTTCATGTATTTCTCTAAAATTAAAATAATAAAGATGATAATATCCATGATTAACACCATCCACAATAAAAATGGTTAATCAACCTCTCATAATTACAAAAAAATGAACAAAGTGAAAAATTATGATTGGTTGAATGAGGTTTGCACGGTTTGTACAAATTGAGTAGTTTTTATTTGAACGCTTATATATATATATATATATATATATATATATATATATATATATGANAATTGTTTCATATACTACTTAATGAAATTTTAATGAAATTGTTTCATGTATTTCTCTAAAATTAAAATAATGAAGATGATAATATCCATGATTAACATTCTCCACAATAAAAATGATTAATCAACCTCTTATAATTACAAAAAAAATGAACAAAATAAAAAATTATGATTGATGGAATGAAGTTTTTACGGTTTTACAAATTAAGTGGTTTTCATTTGATCGCTCCCATATATATATATATATATATATATATATATTATATTCCATTAGTTAAATATTTAACGAATGAAAAACATATGTAACTATTGTAATCAATCTTTAACTTAAAAATCATTTCAGTTACAAAAATCTCAAAAACACCATAGAAAATCTTAGATCATATATAATGATTAGTTTCATAAAATCTTTTGTACTTGTTAAAAACTATTATACTTATAAAATATAGTTTTCGTAAAATTTTCACTGTATAAAATGAAAAACAAAGGTTACTGTTGATGCGATAAACTTTTTGAATGAAAATAATTCAGGGTTCGGAGATACGATTGGTTGTACTCTCGCACCATTCTTCGTGACCCCGAGTTCTTCTCTGTCTCTTCTATTAAAAGACAAGCGAATGGGCAGGCTCACGCTCTTGCCCGACTGTCACATTCCCTTTCTTGTCTTGTTACGTTCCGTAATTTACCTGCTTCTATTTCTTGTTGCATAAACGATGTTTGTTCTTTGGGAGTCCATTAATTTATGGCGACACACTTTTGTTTGAAAAAAAATGTTTGGCAAACAATAACTTACCTTCAAAGCATGTATAAGTTTCATATTTCGATAGTGACTTACATACCATTCTTTCTTATAACTGAAATTAGCATTGACCATCTTTTCTGATTTTCAATGTAAATTAATTATTTTTTAATTAACCTGGATATCCAACCAGCTATGCGAGCCGACTAATTCCAGAGCGACTACCTTCTTTACAGATAGCCCGGAGTCACTGCATTTGAACCTCCGTGGCCACAAGGGGATTTTTATTCCTCCTTGGATTTGAACCTGAGACCTCCTGACACTTTTGACTTTTAGAGTCAAGCTTAAACCAATCAGACACCACCCTTGTGGTTAAATTAATCATTTTTAGAAGTGTAGACAAAATGAGTGGGTACAAGAAACCTCGTAAGGGAACTCGTTATAAAAGGGTCACAGTACATGAGCCTTTGACGATCGAGCCAAGCTGAACCAACTCATTTCATCATCAAAATTGAGCTTGAGCTTGAGCTGTGTATATGTTCACTAAATGCATTGCAGGATGTACTATTTTTATAAATGATATGGGATGAATATAATTGATGAAAGGTACAAGAGGTTGGTGAACAAAAATGATACTAATTAATATTGACATTGTAGTTATATGTAGGGGTGTTCAAAAACCCGATCAACCTGATCAACCCAACCCAACCCAACCCAACGTGAAATAACCTAACCCAATGTCTAATCGAGCTGTAAACTTGTCAAACCGTAGGTATTGAGTTGATATTGGGTTACTATTATTTGAACCCAACCCAACCCGATGAACCCGATATCCTTTTATTTCTTGGATTTAATATGATTGTTGAAATTCTATTAATATATACATTAGACAATTACACTATCATGTATGTTTTTCGTATACACATATTATGAATTTATTCACATATGTATAAAATTCATTCGTATATATGTTCAGTAACTATGAACATATATATGTAAATTGAGAAAATTAACTGAATGTGATATACGTAAGAAATATGGATAAGTTGTATCAAATGATTAATGATAAAAAAGAAATTATGAGTAGATAAATAACATATTCAAGGTTAGAAGAATATTTTAATGTACCAAAATACCAACCCGATTAACCCGTAAGGGTTGGGTTGGGTTGCACTTTAGTTTGGGTTGGATTGGTTTAAAATTTTTCAAACCACAAGCATTGGGTCAGGTTGTTCAAATGTCTTCAACCCGATTAACTCAACCCATAAACACCCCTAGTTATATGGCTATTTTATTTCCATATCTGAATCTTGGTGAGATCCTCTATTATACGATAATTATTATTGTAATCATTTATTTTTTATAATCTTGTTTGAATTTCAGTACGACAAATAAAGTTCTTTAAGTCTTATGTTTTTATAGTCGTCTAAATAAAAAAATATTGCTCCTTCAAACACTTGGCCTTACGCTTGGTTCTTAAAATGATAGAAATTTTGTATTTGTTGTATGAGCATCATATCTGGGTACTATACAATTTTTTATTGCATGATGTACAAGTCATCAAAACATTATTGCTCTGAAATTTGATGTTTACCCTCTTATGGTAGAACATAAGCAGTATCAACACCATATCTATCTCATGATCTCGAGCGTAGTTTCTAGAAATAGAACCAACTAGTCGATGTTGCCACTTTTGATGTACTTCTCGATTTGAGAGATATCTAGAAATCTATCCATTTCACTTGCAATAAGGAACCTAAAAAAAGATCAAAACTTTCCAAAATTAGTAATATGTGCATACTAGGATATCTAGGATCGAGTAATGTCATAAATACATGACTTACTTATCAAAGAAAACTCGAGCCATGAATAAACAACCATTGATCATCGTTGATTGCATATTGATTGCTATATTTGGATTATGAATACTTTGTCTAATGTGTAACCATCCATACTGTCCGTTTTCTTCATTCGAGATCTTAGCCCTGAACACATTTCGTGGTTAATCAAATGAGAACACAAGTCGTATGATTTACTACCCAGTTTTAGGAACACTTCATTCAAAGGGAAAAGTGTATCAAATTTGAACGTACTTTATTCCAATTCTTAATTTTGGGGAACCCACTTTCAAAATCTGTATTTTGGAAAATGTACTGTCTTTGATGCGATTAAGGAATCATGCTATTTCTTTTGTAAACAAAAAAGATGTTACTTGAAATTTATTATGAAACCTTTTTTTATTTAAAAGCATGTTCTCCAAAATAAAAACCGAAACAAAGTACGTTCCGTTTTAATACAAGTATGTCTCTGTTGTCTGATACCAAGATTGTACTCGAGTGCATGTATACCTATACATTTGAGCATCCACAGGAGTAGGAGTGTCATTAGAATCAACAAGGCAACCATCGCTTACCCAACAATCTCCACATGCGTCTAGCTCCCATCCTTCAAGCCTGCTTTCCTGTAGTTTCACATCTTTACGTATTGATAACTATACTGTACAAACACTTTAGTTATAAATATATGTTGCAAACTATGTACCTGTATGTATGTCTTGAATGTCTCAATGATCTCAATGGCTCGAGCCTTGGCATGTTGAAGCTCGGAAAGGATGTTCATTCTTAGTTCTATCGATTCTAATGGCTCTTCAAGATCTTTTATCAAACTTCCGATTCCTTCATTTGAACCCCGTAGTTTCATTCTTACCATTTCTATTATGATCTTTATCACCATATACGCACCTGGACAACATAATATATATCATCTTCAGTGCGTTAATACAATTCAACATAGCACGTTGAACTCATTCAAAAAATTATAGCCCGAATTCTATATGAATACAAGTTACTTGTCCCACCAACAAACTCCCGACAGACTATTAGTTTATTTAATTCATCCGTTTATCCTCTTTTTTCAGTAAAGTGATCATGTGTCTGAGGTTAATTAGGAAACATAGAGGGACTGTGATCTGTATACAACTCCATATATTTCAAACATTTGCCCAATACTTCAAACCATGAACTTATCATCAAGGTACCAAACTTATCATCGACATTTTAGAGTAGATCAAGCATGCAACATTGATCAAGATGTGTTTGGAATTAAGTTTTCTTTCATTTCGCACACTTGATTGAAGTTGAGGGGCTTAACAGTACTATTTAAAAGTATAAGGAGACAAAGTGCATTATGCAAGGTACCAAAATGAAAACCATGGTAGCCTAATAAAATATGGTATTAGGGGGTGTTTGAGATTGCTTATTTGAAACAACTTATATTTTTTTACAAAAGTGTTTATTAACTTATTATAAGTTAGAATGGTTTAACTTCTTCAAAAACTCCTTATGACCGGTTTGACACCGGTATGAGTTGTTTATACAAACACTCAAAAGTGCTTATTACCGGTGTCATACCGAAATAAGTTAATAAGTTGTTTTTATAAGCAATCCCAAACACCCCCTTAGTTCAGTTTGGAAGCTCGTATGCATCAAAACAAATGTTGGGATTTTATATAGCAAAAGCTAGAAGGAGAACGATCTTCTTACTTTTATGGATTATGGGTTTACTCATACTTTTATTTATTGACAAATCATATAAAATAACACAAAAATCTAAAATATTAAAATAAGATTGAATCAAAAGTACTAACCATCATCAAGAAAATAATTTTCTTTAAGAGCGCCATGACCAGAGGTTTCCATCATAAGATGAGCATCAACACCATCTTCGTTAAGCTGAATACCCTTATCGATAACATTTCGGTAACCAACACGATATAGGCAATGATGACCACCACGATCAGTGATAAAACGAGTTAGAGCCATACTAGTTCGAGCATCGGTTACAATGGTCGAATCTGGATGCTCCTTTAAGACAATGGCAGCCATAAGTGCAATCAATCTATCACCATTGATGGGGTTGCCCTCATTATCAACCACACCACTACGGTCGACATCGGTATCAAAAACGATGCCGAGATCGGCTGAGTTTTCGAGCACGGCGGTTCGTGTCACGGCCATGGCAACCTTATCCTCAGGGTTAGGGATATGGTTTGGAAACATACCATCTGGTTTGAGATTTAGCGAGCCAAATGTGTCTGCACCTAACTTATCTAATACCTCGTATGTGAAGAATCCTCCCGATCCATTTCCGGCATTAACTATTATCTAAAATTTAAATTTTGTTTATAAAAAACAATATAAATAAATAAAATATATATGTTTGCATTTAATTTCTGACCCACAAGCGTTTGGTTTCATAAATTTGATTAAATATCTCACATTGACACTATTTTATCAAACTATTTTTTTTTTGTAACTTTCTACTATAAAGTAAATGTAATTAATTGTTTAATATATTCTAGATGGTGTCTGATTGGTTTGAGCTTGAGCTCCAAATGTCAAAGTGTCTGAAGGTCTTAAGTTCAAATTCAAGGAGAAATAAAAATCCCTTTGTGGCCATGGAGATTCAAATGCTATGATTCCAAGCTACCCGCAAAGTAGGTGGTCGTCATGGGATTAGTCGGCTCACATAACAAAATGTTTCATTGATTCTCAATTATGGTCATGTAATGTTCATAACCTAGATTATCTTTTAAACTTGATAGAAAATCTATAGTTGATAAGTCATAAGTTCGGTTTTTGAACTACTTAAAATAGCAAACTTTAAGATTTTTTTCACTTTTTTTTGTTTCAATTATGCTCTTATATTTATATGAGCACCTCGTTAATTTACATTATTTTTTACCTTATTAACTGGTTTTTTACCAAACATGACTAGTTTATTGATTAGTTTATTAACCAACAACTAGCTAGTTTTTCATTCCACTTTCCATTGGATTGAGTTTTGTTTGTATACATTTATTCTATGCTCTATCAAACTCTCATTTTATAGCTACTCATAAGAGTATTGATGGCCAAACCGGCCCGGCCCGGGACTGCCGGAGGACCGGGACCGGCCCGTCCCGGGACCGGTTATAGGATCGAAATCTGGGACCGGTTATGGATTTGGGGTGTTTCGCGAGACCTGGACCGGTTATGGGCCCGGCCCGGCCTGATATGATTTTTAAAAAATGTAGCCGTTATTTAAAAAAAACTAGCCCTTTTTTTTGCCCTTTTTTGTATTTTTCGCTTTCTAGACACTATATATAAGTGTCTTGGTTGAGGAATTTATATACTAAGTTCTCGATTCGCAAAAAACATAAAAAAACGTTCACAATTATTGGTTTCTCGGTATATTTAATAAGACTGTAATTTTAATTATAATAAAACGCATTTTTAAAGTGCATTTGAGTGACCCAATTACAAGTTTTATAATGTATTAAAAATATATCATTAAAAAGATAAAAATCAAAAATTATTTTTCAATGATCGGGACCGGTTAGAACGGGACCGGCAACCCATAACCGGTTAAAATAAACCTTGACCGGGCTCAACTTTTTCAGCCGGGATTGGTTATGAGAAATATTGGGACCGGTTGGAACCGGCCCGGTCCAGGACCTATTTTTGACCATCACTACATAAAAGTCATAAATGTTTTAACGTACAAGTCAATTTACTCAAAATAGCCTAAATTTAATCAATAATTTACTTGCATCTAAATTATTTAATAATGAATTGATTTAAGTGAAAATTAAATATTTTTAAATATTGAAGTATATATATATATATTAGAAGGATACTCGTGCAATGCAGCGAGATAAATTTTCATTTTAATGTTTAGTTTTAATATTTGACTATGTCGATATAATACGATTTTATGTGATTTTAAAAAAACGATAATGTTTTTATTTTTGAATGAAATATAAATTTGAAAACAATAAATCAAAATTAGTATCGAATTAACTATTTAATAGTTCTTGTTTTTTTTTTTAACTTCTTTAATTCAATTTTTTATTATAATTTAATTTAGATTTAATAACAAAGTAATTTATTTTTGTTTTAATAATATTTTTTTATAAAGAAAATAATTAAATATTCTGTTAGAATTCAATGATTATTTTAGTTATATTTTAGATTTTTTATATTTAAAATTGATGTTTATCCTGTATTTGATTATGTTTATCCGTAGTTAGTTACACGAATTTAAAAATGAAGCTTTAGTAAGTTGTAGTTACGCAACTACTTGTAATACTGAATTTTAAGTAATATGCATCAATAAACAGTACTTTATATATAAAAAATTGTTTTTAAGAGTTTTTGTCAAATGCTTTATAATATGGTATAGATATATTAATTGATACATAATTTTGGAGGAGGCTAATGGCACCCTACACTCTACTTATGGCACCTCTATTCCCTAATATAATCATTTTCTTTTTGTATTCTTTTTGTGATTTTGTCTTTTTGTTATCTTTTTCTTTTTTATATTAATTTTCTTTTACTTATTTTATTTAATTATAAATATAATATTATTACAAATATTATTTATTATTCTCTAAAAAATTATTACTAAAA